TGAAGATGTGAGCAAAGTATAATTGCCAAGAAAGAAAAGCAAGAGACGCGAATTCACTGTGAAGTCCCATTATACGTGTTGCAAAAGAGAACAGCAATGCCAAACGTCTTCTGAGACTCTCGAAACAAACTACCATGGGTTTTAAAGGTGTACTCCTCCGATATTTCACACTCAACGCATAAACTCTCTCTCTCTTTCTCTTTCTCTCTCTCTCTCTCTCTCTCTCTCTTGTGAACAATTATTTTGTACACATTGTTTCGACTTCCATATAGTACCCTAAGAGGATCAAATAATTCACAAGAATGACCTGGCATGAAAGCTACTTGAAAACGGAATAAAAACGTAATTTCTCAATTCTACTAAGGTAAACCGACGTTTCCGTTGTCAAGGTAAAGCTATAGGTAATAATACGCTTTCTTATGCCGACGAAGTTATTTGTGAGTTCCACGGCTTTACGGAGAATTCAATGTGTGTTAAAGTTAAAACGAACTGTACTGTTAAATAGAACATCTAGATTGTGTGAACTAACAAAGTATTCCGTCGTGAATAATAACAAAAGAGAAAACAAGTACGAAAATTATGTATAGCTGTGACCGAATCTTTTATACCCATTACCGTTACCCCGACAAGAAACATAAAAATAAGTTTCCGCACTGCAGTATTCCGAATATTCGGATAGGCGTGGCTAATTTGTAGAATCTTTGTGGAATACACGTGAAAATATTTATTGTACGTCCATTGTATACCGTTATAAGTACCGACCAAACGCGGCCACTTACAATATCAACTTGCGCGCAAGAACCTCCAAGGCAAAGGTTTCGTGTTTAAAACAGACATTACACAGATATACAAGAAATTATTTATGCACAATTAATGAACGCATCTTTGTTATAAATTTTGAATAGATTAGCTTTCTAATGCTGCTGGGAGACTCAAAGCAAAGGATTAATTTTAGTATCATAACTAAACGAGCTTAACTAACGCTTAACGAAAAATAAAGCACAATTCAAATTTGCATTGCTCGCACGCTATCTTCAAAATCGTATCACAAGCTATTTAACAATTCAATTAATTGCTAACACATCAAATTCTAAATATTTATGTTCGAATATAATTTATTATTAACTTATAAATCAATTTTGCTTAAATATGCCCAATTATAATCCGATCCGTACGTGAACAAGCATTCGTAACGAAGCAAGTTCGAGAAATGTAACATGGTGTTTACATAAATTAACAGATGCTCGAACTTGTAAATAGTTTACGCACATTTACATACATATTTACATATGTAATTATGTGTGTATTTTTAATTTACAATTATGCAAACGCTCGTGTGGAGAATGAGCTTAGTTTTATAATTGCATTAAATTGTATTAATTTCATTCATAAAAAACGTACATTATAATATTGCCTTCAATTATTATTTGGCCCGAGCAATGGTACAGTGCAGTACGCGACATATTACATTTTATTATAATATAAAATCGATCTGCTAGAAGATATTAAAAATTGTACATTGTAGATGGCTTTAGAAGCGTTAAAAATGAACAAAAGAAGCTTCTGGACGGAGGCACGTACATAGCGATACGTCGGACAAGTTGGAACGTGCCTATATAGAAAATGCTTTAAAATAATAATCAAAAATGCGGAAATCGGTAATCAAGTATTATTTTGTCTACTCTTTACCGCTCCCCGACGGCAATTATGTTAGAAAAGCGAATAACTACATGACTATCAACGCGCATCGGTTCAGACATTCATTAATATAAAAATCAAAATTTATGAATTAATTGCTCGAAACAATTTCGCGTTGCTTTTCATTCTCTACACTCAAGAAAAATAAATAAAAAATTGAAATGACGATATACTTTAGATGGCGCGAATAATCTTCAATTTCAATTTATATAATTTTGTGTTCTTTTATACGCCTTATGCTTGATAGCTAATTATGTTTTTTATTTTTTTATGGCAGAATATTTTATGGTTATCCGTTCGTTGTCTTGTCATGTGGATCTTTTCACTTCTCATTTAACTTTCAAACAATTAAGTATCATATCGAATGGTTATTACAAATTTTCAGTGGCGTAAACAGAGAGAGTTAGTCCACTGTGCGTAGCCCACATTTCTGTCTTTGCTCGATGGTGAGCTATTCTTGGTTCGAGTCCGTGCTATGATAATTAATAATTTCGCGGTTTTAAAAGAATAACAAAATGAAATGCAACCATAAATAGAAAACGAAATCATGCTTAATCTTATGAAAAATGCAAAATGTCATGTGTTGTTACCCTTTACCTTGAATGAGAAAAATTGCAATCTACAAAATATATCATAAAAAATTTTGAAGAACACAAATAAAATTGCAGGAGGAATGGGAGGAGGAAGGGACACAGGATAGCTATAGTTGGTTTTTTTTTACTTGAATAATAATTCGTGCAAAAAGGAAAAAAAAAAAAAGAAATGGTGAAGGAGAATAACTCGGTATGTATAGAATGAATACAAATAAGTTAAATATATGCGGCAAAGTATTTTTAATAGAGTAGAGAACATTTTTATACCCATCACCTGCGAATGGCAAGTATATAATGATTTTGTCAAAACGTCTGCAACGCCTACAAGCAAACATCAGAGACCTCAGAAAGTGTGTATGTGTTTTTTGGAACATATATATATATTATATATTTGGAAGTTTCTGCTTGCAGGTTGGCATTGGCCAAATCGATCGAAGGACACCTCCACACCACCGCGTAAACTGGGAACACCACTGTTTATCAAAGGGAATGAAAAATTGGTTTTTCACGCATTACTACTAGTTCAGGAGTAGCAAATAAATGTACAGAAATTTGAATGCATATTCTATGGGCGATGCACAATTCTATGGGGTATCAAAATTGAATTATTTTTTCAATACCTTTATAACGCGCAGCAACAAGCTGCAAAAACCCTAGTATAAGAGTATAGAGATTCTTGGCCAGTTCCCCACTCTTGAATGTACCTAAACATGTCCGCTTACTGGTCTGTCCATCTGTCTCGCTGCACAACTTTATAGTATTTGTGGCAAGCATTCTCCCGTTAATGATGATATCGCTTACAAAATTGCAAAGGAATTTGGAATTGACGTAAACTTTTCAAAGGACATGCCTACAACGCCCACATGCCTCTACTACAAAAACTTTTATTTTGAAAATGGAAGAAATCAATCCGCTTCATACTATAAAGTATGAGAATTTGTTTGTTTTACTTCTCTTGTCTTTTTTTGGGGTACACGGTGATGGGTGTAAAAGATTATATGGAAACATGTGGTCGTGAATTTTGAAGACGCCAATGAAATTGAATATTTCTAATAGTTTCCAGAGTCCTTGAAGATATTTTCGAAACAAAATAAATTTAGTTAGAAAAATGCTGCGATCTTTTACTAAAGATACGCGAATTATTGAAATAAAATTCAAAATACACTGCTTTGGTAGATTCATTGTAAAATATTCACATTAATCTAATAGATGAATAGACGAGTAAAACTAAGTTGACTAAGATCAGTTGCGATGATTTCAAATACATTTTTGTTACATATTCATTAACAAGAGCTCAACAGATTTAAAGTAATATATTCAACTCTAAATTAACTGACCCCCTATCCCTCTCTCACTCTCTCTCTCTCTCTCTCTCTCGTTTTCCCTGTCCGCCTATCTATTTATCCATATTTTTTTTTTATTTTATAGCACATTGTTAACCAGCGACCCTACACTGGGGTCACAGCCATTCCGGAACAGCTTTCACACTACCTCAAGATATATCGTTATGGATTTTTGATCTTCACTATGTCATACCGGCGCATTTCTTCCATCTTTCAATGTCCATTACCGATGGCCGGTAGCTGCTTAACTGACATCTTTTTTTTTAGAGGTCTGAAAAGGCCCTTTCGCAGAAGCTCTCTACTTTCTTTGTAGTACTTTCTCTGCCCAAATGGGTGCAGTGTGCATCATTTACGCGTAGGCTACGCTACATACAAGTTTTCGGATCGATCTATCTATCCATCTATCTTCTTTTTTTTTAACGAGGTGAAGGTAACGTAACGCCAACTAGAGGCCCTGCGGCTAAATTCGCATTAGTTCGAGATGGGTCTTTACAGATTGTTAAGACTCAACATATCATTCTACCTCCGTCTCGTTCTCGCATGAAATTAGGCGTTCGGGTGTGGATTTATACCGAAGCGAGCTGTGCAAGAAACTGGCGCATTTCTTCAATCTTTGCATGTCCGTCAGCATGAACGCTAGCAAGCTAAATGGTTGTGATTTGCTGCTCACAGAGATCTGAAAATCCTAATACTCAAATAATTGTCAAAGCCGGATTTGTTCATCTATCTATATATTTATCTATTTTTCTCTCCACATTAATATTAACTCGTTTAAGCAGCTGCTGCATACATTCTTTAAAAAGAGACGAGAGCTGTTTTTTCTATACGCTATGGAAAAATCTTTATGTTACGTTAGCTTAAAAAATGGACATTTTTATCATATCGTGGAAAGCCAAATGTCAAAAGGATCGTAAAATCAAATGTTGATGGTTATATGACGATGTTGGTATTTCATATTATAGACATGCGTGTGTGTGTGCATGCGTGTATATCTATGGCTTGCTATTAACATAATTGTGGACAAGTTTTATAAAAGGAAACTATTTCATTTAAATAAAGGTAATATAATTTTTTCCTTTTTTTTTTTTTTTTTTTTTTGAAAGGTAAAAGCATTAGCACATAAAAAATGAAGTATAATAATATTCTTATAAAAAAAGTAAGAAGCAATAACAAAAAAGAAAAGAAACAGTTTAAGATGCATATCATAACAAAAAAATCTGCTATAAACAGATGAATGAGATTTAAAGGCAAATCGCTCGTTACACACAATAAGATCACAATGTTTTATGATTTAATTAAAATTTGGCGATCGGTCGATGCAAATATTTGTGCATGATTTTGGGAGAAAAGTTAAACTTCCAATTACCTTTTCATCGATTTTAGGAGCGTCGTTGTCCTTCTCGCATTTAATTTCCAAAATTAATTTGTTTATTGTAGTTTTGAATTACGAGCATTTTTTTCATTCATCTTTGACTCTGCAATAATCGAAAATAGCACAAGTTAATTAAAACCGAATACGCAAATTGTAATCAAATTTATGCCTATTCCTGGACGAAGAGGTGTAATTGTCATATCGTCGGTTACGCTTTAATTGCGGGCATGAAATGATCTAAACTTTCACAAATCTTAACAAAGCTATCTTGATTGAAGGACCAATAAAAAAATGTTGTCTTTGAAGCATTAAAATCTTAGTACAAGCTTGTCATTGCTAACATAGCTTAATACATAATATGGGTGTGTGTGCCACATTGTAAATATAACAATTTTATCGGCCGGCATCATTGTGTTTAAGTTGCATTAAGTATTTACGTTGCGTTAAGTATTACATTTTCTGTCCTGTTAGCAGTAGACTGCAGGCTTGCTCGCACATCCATACATAGTCAAAATTATGAGCTCTTTTGTTGTCAATAATGCGTATAACCGATAGCACTTGGAGATATGAAAACACAATTTATTTATTATAAAAAAAAAAATTTTATAAAATTTATTTTTAAAAATAATTAAGGATTTCCTCTCCCTTTATTTTATTCATAATGACTACTACTACTTATTCAAGTATTTTATGTTCGTTTCATTTTTATTTTGTTTTTTTTTTTTTTCTATATATTTCTTTTTTTTGATATCTCGCAAAACATCCTTTTAGCAAGAACTCTAAATTAATACTGAATCCTCTGAATCCTACCAACAGTCAGTTATATCATTTAGAAGACTATGAACACTGCTGTATGCACACGCTATTGTACTGTTAACACGATTTAAACATTTTTTTTTTTTTTTTTCGTTTTTAACTCTCTTTCGCTGTTATTGTAGCATTTTTATGTTCCGTTAATGCATCTATTTCATGTATGTTAAACAACATTCGGTAGTTTAAAGTTCGTCTCTATGTTTTATAAAATTTTTCATATCATCATCATCATCATCATCATCATCATCATCATCAATACGATTCATAAAAACATTTTTAGATGTTTTGCGGGCAAATATTTACATTTGCCTATGGCCATTACCAACTACTACTAATGTGTATCAATTTTTTCATTCCACTTACAATAGACATTAAAAATCAACGTAAGACTTATGTTCAACTTAGATCGATTTCACGCTCCATCCATTGATTACTAAGCTATTGTGTTGCATTCATAAATCATAACCTAAAGGACTGAAGTAGCTTCAAAACGAAAACAAATATTTCAGTGCACGTTTTTTAAATAACTTTTTCATATCACATAGCAAATGTTGATATGAAATTTATTATAAATATACATATATTTACCTTATATATGTTTGATTTATGTATGTATCAGCAATTTTAATTCTCTCAATAATGACCACAATATTTACAAATCCAAATCCAAAAGTGATATAAAAACATGATTATGAGAAAGGCGAAATTTTAATTCCAAAACCAAAAGTTGGATGAATTTTTCCAAAAAAAAAAAAAAAATATGAATAAATAAATAAAGCGGACAGAGTTTTTAAAACATATCTATACCTATGTTGCTTATAAAAGAATTTTAGAAAAATGTTTGGCTGATTTTGCAAAATGGCGACTTGCAACGGTACGTAATTCGAGTTCTTCTAGCTAATATAACTTTCTCACTTCACTTTAATACTAATAATAGAAACTTTTAAATAAAACAAGCAAAAACATTTCAATGGATCACGAGTTACCATTACATACCCC